GCTGAAGGAGAACACAACTCAACAGGTAAAGTGCTCAGTTTATTCACCCTGTTACTCTTGAAGTGATTCCAGTCTGTAAACAACCTTTATCATAAAACATGATGTAGTTTAAAGACTTCACCACTAACTGATCCTAGTTTCATCATTTATGATTTTACCATGTTTGTGAAACCAGGATATACTTCAAAGGTAAACAACAAACCATCATCACCTTTTCATCACCACCACTTTTCATGATTATACTTTATAAATACCATCAGATCATCATATTGAAAAGGAATCTAACTTCGATACAACCAACGTTAATATCTAGGCCGTCTCCGATACCGAACTCCGGTGCTGATAAGGCTCCGGTGAACGGCCGTCCAATCTTTTTAGGACTTCAAAACCCCCCAGAATCTACACGCAAGAGCAACGTCATCTGCTTAGGGGGGCGTTTACAGCGTGGCCTCTAACACCAAACTGCCCGTCGTATCCCTATTTAGGCACTCCAGCCACGGATGTCCGACCGCTAGGATAGCAAAACGGAGTGTATAGTGTAGTAGGTGTTGGTGGGCTGGTAGAACCCCAGAGCAGTATCTAAACTGCCCCTGGAGGAGAAACCCTGTGTCGTTGGGAGACTCCTTGGTAATTAGGGCAGCTTCAGGACCCACAATCCCTAACCCCCAATTTTGATCCCCTTATACCAATTAAAACAATGCAAAAGTAATATCAAACCCAGCCAGAGTCAAACATTAATAAAGTGAGCCTAACCCATAATGTGAAACTATAGTTTAACCTTAGCAGAGTTTCTATTCCCCTTAAACAATTTAAAATCCAAATGATCAACTAATGTCAGCCTTTTCCAAGGAAGGGTGTTCTTACCTCACTCTAAGACCAAGCAGATACCTTCAGAAACCACGAGAGAGAGCAGGAATTGGGTCGAAATGTACAAAGTACAAACCGGTTTTATTAAGGTTTTAACAAAAATAGCGGATTTACAAGAATCCAAAAAATAACAAAAGACACAAAGTCAAAATACAAAAGCAACAGGTTCACAAGTCAAATGTCCTAAAAAAGCCGTCAAAAAGAGCCCAGGCCCAGGCCCAGGCCCAGGCCCAGGGCTTGGGCCTCAGAAAACTTCCCCCAGCTCTCAAGCCTTCAAGCCTTCAAGCCTCAAACAGCCAAACAAACTCCCCTTGTCTCTTCACACGTCATCTTTTATAATCTCTTGCTCTCCTCCCTCACTGCATCAGGTGGTTTCCCCTTTTCTATCTTTGAGGGAGAAGGAGGTCACGTTCAACTTTTGCTTAATGAACAATTACAAATGTAAAGTTAAAATTAAAACAAATAAAGACTTATAGTAATAATATGTAATTTTAACAAGAAGGAATATGAACATGTTTCATGAAAGCAGAACACATTGTCAATGTCATGTTTAGAATCAAGTTTTTTCTTTAAACATTTAATTTCAAATATGCAAACTTTATACTTTAATTCATTAACATTGACTTAAAGTGGACCTATCATGCTAGATTTGAATAATATAGTGTAGGACCATACCTATATAAGGCATATTTATAATTTTTTTTTTTTCAAAATACCAAACAGATCATGCATTTTAGCCATGCCTCATTTTGCTCAATTTGACATTTTTTAGATCTGTTTTAGCAAGGGCTGATTCTGTGAGAACAGCACCATCTAGAGGCCTGGCATATGTACTACAGCGTCTCCAGCGCTTTCGAACGGCAATGCCGTGGCTGTGTCCTCCTGATTGGTGGAGTTGGCCCAATAGCCGTAGCGCCACCGTCCTGACGTCAGGACAGTGTTCAAATCTGGATCAGTTTTTATCAGATCCGTTGCAGCCCCTTTTTTAGAGATTTGGGTATGGAGGAAAATAGAGAGGGTTGTGTTTTCTGATACTTGGTGAGTTCCCTGGAACACCGGGGACACATATTCATGTATACAAGACGTACAAAAGTGCATTTTGCATGATAGGTCCCCTTTAATTTATTAACAGAGACAATAAGGACAGCTTGTCTCTACGATTCTCTGGCCCAGGAAGTTGGTTCAAGTCCTTTGCGTAGGCCGCCTGCATCCTGTGCTTCATTGTCTTCATACCCGCTGTAACCGCTCTCAAGGTGTCAAAAACCACAAGCGCAGCCACAAGCAGAAGACAAATGTAATCAAAATTTGATTTCAAAGTAATACATAAAAGTCAAAAGCAAATTATTGTCAAAGTTTAAAAAGCAAACTTATCTCGAAACAATTGAATATTATCATAAGGTCACTCAAAAATAAAATAATATAATGATTAACAATCATGTATATCAGAAAACATAGATATGCACCACTGAGTATATAAGTGGGTTTAAACAACACAAAGCTAAATGGCTTAACAGCATTATCATAAGTAGTCAAAAATGTATAGTAACATGATGTTACAAATAAATCAAGATACTCTGCACTTTTAACGGCACAATGTCGGCAGGTCAGGTCCACAGCATTTCTGGAGCCCTCGTCTGGTCAGCTGCTGTAAAAGATTAGTTTGGTGGCACAGAAGTTCTAGACTTCTTAGCCGGAGGAGGACAGGTAGACCCTTCCCCAAGCTCCCTAGGACTAATGTCAAAATAGTCTTCTAAATGTTCTGTAACATACCAGCGAGGTGGTTCCCTGTTATCCCCGCGGAGTCTCAGTGAGAGACCCCTCCTAGATGCTGGCAACAAATGATCAGATAAATCTTCTCTCTGATATAAGCGTCCATCACCAACCAACCACTCAACAGAACGTCTATAAAGGGACTGAAACATTGCTATAGTAAATATCACACATTTTCTTAAAGATATTGTTACATCTACTTGGTTTTAAGTTCATTACTACCAACCAGGAGTTGGATAAACACCAGATACTACAAAAGGAAGTTGGTCAAAATCTCCAAAGTGAGCAAAGCTATTCTAATGACTTTTAGCAGTTAAAAAGCTTCTAACATTATTCTACTTATTGAACTGCTCCCTGATAGGAAGAAACTAATAACACAACTGAACTCTCCTTTCTGCTACAAATGGATAAATCAATAAACAACTCAGCGTTGGCCGATTGATAAGGCCATTTTGCCAGTTTCTAATAAGTAAAATGGGGATAGCTAAGATCAAAGTCACAAATCCCCCATTCTTTAATGACTTTGGGGTAATCAAAACTAAATTAAAAAATAGTCAAAATGATTCCAATCAGGATCTCTTGTATTGACTGGGATGAAGCATTCTCAGAGGTAACGTTCGGTCTCTCCATTACGTGCTGTCACTGTCTCAGGTCCAGAGAGTAGTGAGAGTATGTAAGGGCGGGGGTGCTGATCTCTATCTCAGAGCTGCATGTCAAACCACATCAACATCCGGTGCTTAGCCTGCAGCAAGGAGGAGAGGCAAAAGAGGAGAAATCTCCATCTAAGCAGTTTTGAAAATGTTCTTTATAATTGTTTTCTTAAGCAGCTTTTATGGATAAAGCTACTTAATCATATGTTTCATGTTTCAGGTCCTATTAGTTTATAGATGTGGGGGGGATGTTATACTTGATTAAAAGAAGTGATACCACAGTGTAGAAATACTGTAACAAGAACAAGTCTGGTATTGAAATCTACTTAGGTAAAAGTATTAGGATCAAATAATGCTTAAAGTACCATCATTAATACTCCGTTTGAATGTCAGTGGACTGCAAATAAGTCAATAAAGGAGCATGGCTGCTCATTCCCTGGCTCTCAAAAGAGTTTGGCTGGCTGTTTAATCTATGTTCACACTGAGACAGTACAACACAGAGAGAGAACAGTACACCTAGTGTGTAAGTACATACAAGCAGGTCACACAGTATGATCACAAATACATAACATCTGTTCAAAATCTGTTTTCATTAGAAAGTACAGGCTGCATATGTTCTCAGCCTTGGAGAAACTTGACAGGTTCATTAATAAAACAGATATTTCAACGTGTGCCTACTTTGTTCATGTACTGTTGAGGTTCATCTCAGTAGTTGTGTGCTATAATGTATTTACAAAGTGTGAAGAGGAGGCAACTTTAGAATAGGGAACCTGTTCAGGTCAATTAGAGTCAAACTACTAGCTTATTGGTTATGAACAAGACTTCACTTTAAAATAGGGAACATGTTCTTAGATAGAAATACCTCATTTTGAGTTGTTTAGACTTAATTAACACTTACAGTTTCATGTCTTGTTACATAAGAATAGATCATATTTGTTAAGTGTTATTATGGGATAATTACTATTCTTGTGGTACTGCTGCCTTATTAGGCCCATATTGAGCAGCGCATATTAAGACCAAAACTCATGTACAATAACTTCCTTACTTGCAATAAATAAGCACTAATTAGAGGGTTATTGAGGAAAAGCTCTCAACTAATGGCTTATTACTTGTAGAATATGGTCATGTAGAATAAGGCATTAATAAGTGTTTTATAATGACTAATAAAGAGCCAATATACTGCTAATAAGCATGTTAATGAACAACTAGTTGATGGTTAATATGTGTACCGTAATATAAAGTGTTACCAGTCATTCAAACCTGTACTTACAGTACTTGAACTCATTTTGTTGAATACATGTGATGTAGTAGTATTATAAAACCATATACTCCAGTAAAGTAATTCAAGCCTGTACTTACAGTACTTGAGTATATGTACTTTATTACTTCCCACCACCGGTTTATAGAGAGCTGGAGTTAATGATCTGATTATCACTCGGAAGTATTAATAGTATAAATGATTAATTATTAAAATATGCTAATATCAATGAAGGTACATGACTCTCTTGTTTCTCTCCAGAGCCTGGTGTTAGGCTGGTGGGAGGAGAGAGTCGCTGTGCAGGAGACCTGGAGGTGGAACATGAGGGAGAATGGAGACCAGTGGACGGCCGTTACTCTTTCTGGACCCTGAAGGCAGCAGGAGTCGCCTGCAGAGAGCTGGACTGTGGCTCTGCTGTTTCTGTGAGAGGGAGAGAGGGGTCCTCATGGAGACCTATGTGGTGGATCAGACCTGAATGTGTTGAGTCTGGATCTGCTCTGAGGGAGTGTGCACACTCATCTTCCTCTAAAGACATCCTGACTCTCACCTGCTCAGGTAAACCCATCAATGACATCATCAGTGACATCATCGATGACATCATCGATGACATCGATGATGTCATCGATGTCATCATCGATGATATTTTCATTTATTGTTTTCATTTTCTTGTTTTTAGAATGAAAAAATACACAAACCCAAATAACAAATGATGAACAGTGTATGAAGCAGCCGGGCGTTGTGGGTGGGCTACTGGGTCTATAGGCCCACCCACTCATTCATCAACAATGACTGAGAGAAAATATAGCTTACCGGATTTTTATTTATGATCAAAATGAATAATTAAATAATTAAATAATAGCAAAAATAAGTTTCCCTTTAAAAAATTAATACAATTAGAAGCAACATTTATTAACGTATTCAGGCTTCTGTTGTGTGAGATGTTCTATCCAATCACAACAGGCCAATGTAAAATGGCCTGTTGTGATTGGCCTACATAGTTCACATAGTCGAAGCGCGGCGCAAACACAACGTAGGACGTCCCACAGACCCCGCAGATGAAGGAGGAAAATATAGCACTCATTTACAGAGTCACAAGAATCCAGGTTCAGAGTTTTCAAAAGAGTGAGAGGGGAGAGGCCAGAACCATCATCCTCACAGCAGGGGCCGTCTCACTCCAGATTCTGCCTCTCTATGCTTTCTGTGTCTCTAAAATGTATCAATGTAATGTGAACCAAAAGAAATGAACAAGCAGTATTACATTTCATTTCACTCATTGCAGCCTGGAGCACGGCTGATATGAAGAGTCATGAAACCCACCGGGTTATTTGGAGCCTCCACCTCTAGAATGATACAATTCACCATTTAATGGAAAACACGAGATCAATATACAAACAACAGCTTGAATTCAATGATGACGCCATGTTTGAAGAACAACGTGTTTACAAACACCAATCAGATAACACATGTGAAACACACATGTAAGAGTAAAGAATGAAACCTTTTGAAAGTGTCTGTGTGAGAGCAGAGGTGGAGCTGAGCAGGAGCAGAGGATCTGCAGAGGAGGAGGTTTGGTTGAAGACACAGGGGAAGGGTTCACTAATGGAGACCACTTGCTAGAGGGTATCAGATGTAGATGTGAGGGTACCTGCAGTCTGTGTTCTTATAAACATGTGTTCTGTTGTTCATCATCAACTCATGTTGGAACTGAGTCCAGTTTGAATCTCTGAAATATAGTTTCATCTCTTTGATGGTGTGTCTTTGACCTCTGTTTGACCTTCTGTCCTCTGCAGACTCTGTCAGGCTGCTGGGGGGGACTGGTCTGTGCTCAGGCAGACTGGAGGTGAAGTCTGACCAGTCTAACCAGTCTAACCCGTCCTGGTCCTCAGTGTGTGAGGCTGACTTTGACCAGCAGGATGCTCAGGTGGTCTGCCGGCAGCTGGGCTGTGGGGCTCCTTCAGTCCTCCAGGGGGCGCTCTATGGAGAAGGGGAGGCTCCAATGTGGACCAAAGAGTTCCAGTGTGGAGGCCATGAGTCTGCTCTCCTGGACTGTAGCTCAGCCTCAGAGAGAAACACCTGCTCACCTGGCACAGCTGTTAGCCTCACCTGCTCAGGTAGAGAGGAGCTGTGATTGGTTCATTCTGTTCTCATCAAACTCACTTTATTCTCTCTCTGATCTCTCTCTTGTTTCTCTTCAGAGCCTGGTGGTGTTAGGCTGGTGGGAGGAGAGAGTCGCTGTGCAGGAGACCTGGAGGTGGAACATCAGGGAGAATGGAGACCAGTGGGGGGCTCTTACTCTTTCTGGACCCTGAAGGAAGCAGGAGTCGCCTGCAGAGAGCTCGACTGTGGCTCTGCTGTTTCTGTGAGAGAGAGAAAGGGGTCCTCAGTGAGACCTGTGTGGAGGATCAGCTCTGACTGTGTTGAGTCTGGATCTCCTCTGAGGGAGTGTGCAGAAGCATCTTCCTCTCCCTACATCCTGACTCTCACCTGCTCAGGTAAGCTTATCAGTGACATCATCAGTGACATCATCAGTGACATCATCTAAGACAGTCGTTTTAAGCAACCACAGTTCATGGGGGGGTTAACCGAGATTAAAAAGTATCTAGAACAAATCCAGACATGATATAAACGTCACTGAACATTCATCTGGTAGCAGAGTGACATCTCATTTAGTATCCATCACAATCTGTATGAAAATCCGTCTGATATTCATGTGGCAGAAGCTTTGTTTGTTTATCACGGGTAATCAGGTGTAATCAATACATACACAAGGTTTCAAATCAAAACATACGTAATATTTAATATGAGAGAGACTTTATATTTAACCTCCTTTATTTAGGACACAGTGTTTACAATTCCCACTGACAGCTAAATGTATGTTTCTCTGTGAATATGCATCAGTGCACGGTACTTTGAGGAGCAGCTGGTGTTAGGAGAGCGTTAGCTGAATGCTGGATGGGTTGGGGGCATGTCTCTTCTGGGGCCCCCAGAGGGTCTTGCTGTGCCACTGCTCACAGCCATGAGGCCAGATCAATGAAAGCAGGATACATCCTTTACCGTCAAACTGGGTCTGAACACAGCTGCCTGTGTGCGCTTGATCAATACTTTCTGATGTTATATTTATGATATGCTACTTATCAGCTACATGGCCCTAACGTGTGAAGTTACACAAGCATCTGTACCAGAGAGGAGGAGATGAAGAGAGCAGGAGGGTCAGAGCAGGAGGAAGAGGAGGAGATGAAGAGAGCAGGAGGGTCAGAGCAGGAGGAAGAGGAGGAGATGAAGAGAGCAGGAGGGTCAGAGCAGGAGGAAGAGGAGGAGATGAAGAGAGCAGGAGGGTCAGAGCAGGAGGAAGAGGAGGAGATGAAGAGAGCAGGAGGGTAAGAGCAGGAGGAAGAGGAGGAGATGAAGAGACCAGGAGGGTCAGAGCAGGAGGAAGAGGAGGAGATGAAGAGACCAGGAGGGTCAGAGCAGGAGGAAGAGGAGGAGATGAAGAGAGCAGGAGGGTCAGAGCAGGAGGAAGAGGAGGAGATGAAGACATTAGTGAAGAAGAAGACATGTATGTGAGGAATACAGATGAAGTGTCAGAAAGAGGGCCAGAGGCAGGGATCAGGAGGCAGAGGAGACTCCAGCTGGACCACATGGTATGTTCTTCTTCTCCTCACATCTTCCATCACAGCAGCTCAATCTAGCAGCTCTTAGTATTGACACATATTGAAATGTGTTGCTGCACAGGTCACCTCTAGCTCTCTGAAGAGATGGGTGATGTCATGTGTGTACTTCATTATAACTAAGTACTTTGACTGTACTTACAGTACACAGAGTTCTAGGGTACCATGAGTACTTTCTGCTGTTTTATACTATATGTTAGTTTGTTAGTCTGAACACCTTGTTTCTCTTGTGCATTAAGAACACTTGTGTTCGGCCATGATTTAACAATAAATAGGTTTTATATACAGTATGAAATACCACGTACTGTCGGCCCCTCCCATGCCACCCTGACCTCTTGACCCCCCTTTGCCTCCCCATGTAAAATGTTCTAGAACCCCCACTGTGCAGGTGTGAGGTGAGACAGGTAACACACTGCTGCTGCTCCGGCAGTGATAACTGGGAGCCTCTTATTAGGAATAGAACAGCGAACATGTCTGCAAACACAAACTCTGTCAGAAGTGTGCAGCTGTTAAAGCCACTGACAGCCGATCCAGCAGCGATCAGGAATCACAAACGGAAGTCCTTTAACTTCACACTCAGAGGAAAGGACGTCTCATTGCTCTGAAAACACATTTCCTTACTCCCTCCCTCTTCGTGTGGAGGAAAGGACGCAAGTGAGGGAAGCATGGACTCAAGTTCAGAGACTTAGGATGGACCTCATATCGTGTTCTTCCAAGCTAGAGTAGAAGTGATATTAACATTGTTTTCCGCTTCGTTCTGATGCCTTAGTTTTACCGGGAAGTGGGCAGGGCAGTCATTTCGCTTGAAAGGGATGCACTCATGCACTGAAAAAATTGTTATGTTGAATTTACTTAATTTTATTAAGGTAAGTGGATGCACAAAACAAAGTTATCTAAATCCAGATTTATTTTTTAAGTTCACTGTACTTATTATTTTTGAGTAATTTCAATTTAATTATACTGATAATTTTCAGTTAAACTATTTTGAGTAATTTCAATTTAATTATACTGATAATTTTCACCTCAACTATTCCGAGTAAAATGTACTCACTAAACCCATGTTAAGTATACTAAAATGGATTATGTAACAGTAACCTTTTTTCTTTTTGTACATTCAGATCAATTCAATAGTTTAATTTCTACATACAAAAATTAAGTTGAATTTAATTAAACATTTTCAGCCATTATTACTATGTTAACTTTCAATATATTAAAATAAAAAACAAACATCATATTTGATACATACTCTTACTTTATTATCTTGTACAAAATGACGTAACATGAAGCATGTGTCTTACACAAAACATCTTCTGATTCGAATAAAACATGCAACTGTCATGGCCTCCACCGTGTGTGAGTGTGTCCACAATCCAATCACCTCTGCTATAAGACTCCGGCCCTGACTCCTCCACTTCGCCATATCGTAGACTCTGTAACCACAGCTTCAAGCCAGCCTGACTCCTATCCTGTCTCCAGACCACCTCTAACGTTGGACCCTGTCCCGCTCCTCCAGGCTCTTCTCCCTGCACTCTCCAACTTGGTCAGACCTCCGTTCCCCTCTCCCTTGGACTCAGTCTAGCTTCCCTGGCCCAGACCCCCCTGCCTACTGCCCAGTAATATTCAATAAACGTTATTATTTTGCTTGAAACTCTCTGCTCCTGGGTTCCCTGTTAGCCTTAACAGTACAATCTGGCCACTGTTAAGGCTAGCAGGGAACCCAGGAGCTGAGCAGAGACAGGAGGCAGGAGTTTCAAACACAATAATAACGTTTATTGAATATTACTGGGCAGGGGGGTCTGAGCCAGGGAAGCTAGACGGAGTCCAAGGGAACGGAGGTCTGACCAGGTTGGAGAGTGCAGGGAGAAGAGCCTGGAGGAGCGGGACAGGGTCCAACGTTGGAGGTGGTCTGGAGACAGGATAGGAGTCAGGCTGGCTTGAAGCTGCAGGCACAGGAGACGTGACTGACTGTGGTTACAGAGTCTACGATATGGCGAAGTGGAGGAGTCAGGGCCGGAGTCTTATAGCAGAGGTGATTGGATTGTGGACACACACACGCATGGGGAGAGACAGACTAGGCAGAGGTGGAGGCCATGACAGCAACAAAGTGCAGTGGAAACAGACAGAGAATAAATCCTGACGTAACATGAAGCATGTGATTTACACAGCTGAGGAGAATATAACCTACACATTAATACATGTAATATTTTTACATTCTTCTCCAGAACTATAGATGTAAATTGCCAATATAAAAAATAAAATGTTTTACGCTTGGCTAAGGTAGAAAAAGTTGCCGTTTCGATAAAAACGAAATGCAACAAAGTGCAGTGGAAACAGACAGAGAATAAATCCTGACGTAACATGAAGCATGTGACTTACACAGCTGAGGAGAATATAACCTACACATTAATACATGTAATACATGTCTTCTAAGTCCATCAACATTTCCACATTCTTCTCCCAACCTTTGAGGTTTGACTGGTGTTTTTGTAATGCTTTAGTGGCATCGGTTCACAAGAGCGGCTGAAGAAATCCTACAGTCCAGCATGTATCTTGTTCTTCAGTCCAAGGACTTTGGGGGAAAGCCTTTCACCATCCATTTGCAAGAGCACTTTCTGAATGAATTCATAGTAGTACCTTAGCTCTTTGGGGTAAGCCATGTTCAGTGTATAGATGACTCCCAGCATGATGGCACAAGCTCGGGCTACAGATCCAATGTTGTCCAGAATGATTAGTCCTTCAACAAAAATCCCAACGTCGTCATAATGTCCAGGTTCTCCACCATCCTTGTTGATGACGTATACGCCCATGGTAGATTTCTGCAGGTCTCTGGTGATGTCATCTCCTCCGATGTCCTGTATATTTAAAGAAAAAACATGTATTCATTCAATATATGTAATTTTAATGACATACTTTATCTTATACATTTTTTGTAATATTGCTCACATACCTATTAATCCCTTAAAACAAAGCTGGTCATACTGTATATATTTCTGAATCAAACTAAATATGTGTGAGGTGTTTTTAAAGATTTACGTACGACCCAATAAGCTTGGTGATGAGTGTCAGAAGTCAGAGAGGATTGACAGGTGGACTAAGACATTGTTGATTATGGTCTTTCCATTGGACAATAAGAAAAACAATGAATAAAGCCAACCTCATCGTATAAAGAAACAAGGTGATGGTTTGAAATGCTTTAGTCTGTTGATGAATATCAACATTCATACATATAAATATGCTCAACCTTCATGCTTCTTATAAGGTAAAAAATAATTATCTAAAATTGATGCCTGACACTAGGATCTTAAAACACTACATGTGACTGGCAAATGCAATTACAATGACTCACCATATACTCCCGAATGAGATGTCCATCATCCTCACCAAGGTGGATGCAAAGTGCCTTGAGGATTGCTTCCCTTTTAAGGTTAACATCACTTGTTGCCTGTGTAAAAAAATTACAATTAAAATATTTCTAAATACATCAATAATAACAATATTGCAATGACTTCATTATACATGTAAATGGACTGACCTAAAGTATGTTAAAGAATTGTGACTTAAATGTATTACAATGTCAGAGGTCTGAATGTGTTGGGGCGATAGCACTGTTTACTAATTCTACTCATCCAGGGACTTTTCACCAAGAGCAATGCTCTGTTCTTCACAGTTCACACCTGGAATCTGCCAAGTACAAACACAGTCTGATCTGTTGGCCACTGAGGATTAAGTGACTTGCTCAAGGCAGGTTCTGCTTTTTCACTTTCCCCACCTGGGGATTGAATTTGCACCTTTACAGTCACAAGCCTGCTTCTCTAACCAGTATG